AAATTCATCGCCACCCACCAAAATCCCAGTCTTCAAGGTTTCTTTTTACTTCGTTTTCAGGAACTCTAGGGCCAATTTGTCGTCTATTTACTTCGTTTCCATGTATTCTAACGGACCTGCATGGATTTCAATAGATCCTAGGATGCATTAGAGTTTCTTTTTCCCTTATAAAACAGACTATTCGGAGTTGTATAAATAACATGTGACGATTGCATTGATTCATTTAGAACATAACTTGAATAATACCTCCTTATTTTATGAATCTCCTTGATTTCCTTGCTTTTGTGAATATTCAGAACAATAATCTATGCTGATCAATCATAATGAGGTCGAATGGATTCTTGTGGATCCTACCGGATTCTGGCGGATTCTACCGAATCCTGGTGGGTCATATGGATTCTGATAGATTGCAGGATCTACCAGGATCTGCCTTTTTCCCTTGGCTCTTCAGCGTATTGCTTTGCAGCTGAAAAGCTCCAAACTCAATCACCTGTCAATATACAGAGCTCATTGAAAATCACTCACGCTATTTCTTATTTAGAAAAACAAGTGAAACAATTTCTAATGATGAAGTCATATTTCACGATAACGCAAATGTTCTCTATAGTTGATCAATCAAATGACTTTGAAGCCTGTTTCATCAATTATGCTGGAATTTCTGTATCTGTATCGTCAACTGACAATGGCGTTCGTATATCTTTATGCTTAAACAATGCAATAACAGTATCCACAGTTAATATAAGCACAGCTACTACCAAATAGGTGCTTATTATTCTTCCAGTCAAAACCATCCATCCGAAATATTGTTCTATAAATGCGGATGAAAAGAACGCAATTGATATACCAGACATAACGATTGCTTCATACAATGAGTGCGTTTTTAGTTTTTCCTCTTCTCGGTGTGATTGTGTCAGTAGTGCTGATGCGCCCACATAGCCGAAATTCCATCCAATCCCAACGATAATCAGACCTAAATTAAAATGACTAGTCCGAACCCCACGTTGAAATAGAAGTGCTCCTGTCAATTGCACCAGAAAACCAGTCAACATGACGAGTCGACTTCCAAACCAATTACATAGGGTACCTGTGAAAAACGAGGGTACAAACATTCCTAATAGATGATATTCAACGGCTGTTGTTGCCTGAGCGAAACTGTGTCCAGCACCTGTCATCGCTAATGGAGTAGCAGACATCTGAACAGCCATGGCTGACCATGAAACAAATCCACCAAGAGCAGCAATCAAAAATATTCGTTGACTGGCTATAGCAAATACGGAGCGATTTGTTTTACTATTACTACCACTGGCCATCTCTGATGGCGAAGTGGATACTACTGCATAATCTTTTTTTTTAATGTCTTGAAATTGAATCATTGTCATAGTGAGCAAAAGTAAAGTACATTCACATAATGTTGTTAAATAAGCACCGCTGTATGGCTTTGGTAATGCATTCACCGTATGTTTGGCTATTTCTGGCCTATAACATGAAAAAAGATTTATAAACCATTGAACGTCTGGCGAAATGTCTGCAATACATTCTTTACGGCATTGTGATATGTAACAAGACAGACATCTTAGAGAATTGGACACTTCTATCTTATTCTGGATATACGCAACCTCCTTTGGCAGGAATATCCATTCCTGTAAAAATTCGAAAAAATAGGAATTTCGATATGAAACTTTGCCTTTAGATAGTTTTGATAATACTTAATATGCTCTGAAATTTTCACTTAGAACGAATGCTTTCTTGTTGAGATATTCAAAATCCAAAACCCAGCTAAATTTTACTTAAAATTGCTAAAAACTTCAACATTCTGTATCTTGCGAAAGAAATAGCAGTTGTTCCTGAAAATGTTGAAACTTCCTAAACACTACTAGGGCTATATATGAGTCAAGTTTCATGTTAGAAATACATTGTTTTGATTCTTCTATGAGGCTGAATGTCTCACCGAAGGAATTTTTTATTGATCACGGCACAATCTGTCAGTAGATCGGTTAAAAGATTCTAGAACGCTGACATTGAATAGCTTGATGATAGGCTTAAGAGTATAACGTAAAATAAACTACAATGTATGTCGCATTTCCGAATAGATACAACTTTAGGGAAGAAAGGTGTTGTTGAAAAAAGTCATCAGTCCTAAAAGGTGTTTTCCTACGCCTGACAGCCATCTGAATACTACATTTTGGTCTAGATATGGCCTCGAAAGTCATATCAATCCAGAAAAATATTGGTTTTTTTCTACAACATTTTTATAAGACTTCGATTACAATTATTTAAATGTCCCTTGGAAGAGACATTCGGCTCTTAAGGGATAATTCTTGATTCTGTTTCATGCATTCGTTTCCCTAGCTTCAGAGCTGATTGCTATTGAACTGGCGTTCCTTAGTCACTTTTGATCTTTCTCATCAATTGAATTCTTTACTTTGAATACAACAAAATGATTCTACCAAGAATAGAAATGGTACTCTGAAAAAATATAAAGAAGGTCTGCAGAATTTTTTTATGGCTTTGCAGAAGCTACAGAACCTTTTAAAGTTTTGTATGAAAGTACTGAACCATATGAGATTCTGCCTAATAAAGTTGATGTATACAAGGTTCGCTCAACAATGTTGAAGCATAAAAAGTTCTGGCCAATAATAATGAGGCATGAAAGGTTCTGTTCAATAATGACAAACCGTAAAAATTTTCTGTGCAATAATGCTGAAGCATGAAACGTTACTGTCCAAATATTCTAAAGTATAAAAATCTCTGTGTCCCAGAATGCTGATCCAAAGGAGTTTCGCACAATATCACTGAACCTTGTTAGGTTCTGTCAAAAAATGTTGCACCATGGAAGGTTCTTTGTTCAAAGTACGAAACCGAAAAGATTCTGTCCCATAATGCTGTAACTTGACAGATTCTGTCAAAAAATGCTGAACTATAAAAGCTCGCCTATCGAAAGATACTGAAAGAGAAAAGGTTCTATCAGTTATTCAGGATTATTCAGGATGTCCCACTGAAAAAACAGAACCATTAAAGAGTTTGATAGAGAAAATATGGTTCACGATATATTTATTATGAAGTCATTTTTTGTTTCAAAAACTCGATACAAATATTTTTGCCAATGTGATTTGGAATACATTCCACAGAGCTATTTCATCAAGTATTTTTTTCTTTCTTTTACTTGGAGATACTTTATTCTACTCTAATTGGATGATTTCTCTCGATGATTGAGAATGTTTTTATGTACATAAACTGTGATGATGGAATGATTCTTCTTTTATGTTTCAGCAATTTTACTTTATTCATATCCCTCAGCTGTTATTTCTTCCACAACAAGATTGAAATAAATCACCATCGTATCCAAAACATCTAGCTTATTTGCAATAAATCTGGGAAATGACTGTAAAAGCACATGAATTCTGTAATTTATGCATAGTATTTCAAAATGCAGTGAGATAAATTTCGTAATTTGTTTTGTCCACAATGTATTATTGTCAGTACAAGAAAAGAGAGACCTCTACTCCATTTTTTAACAACAGAAAATTATATATCTATCTATATATTTATATATATATATATTCTACCCAGGTCCATCATGTCCAGTTCCATACGACTGTATACTGATCAAAAACAACAATCATTTACAGGGAGCGCTTACAATAATTACAAACAATGCTTTACGGTGTACTACAATCGTCTACACACTAATCGCAAAATAATCACTGTTTACGACTATCACAACAATACAGAGACTGCAACGCTCCCATAGTGTCTCAAGCATTCGCATACGTAAGCTAAAACGGTTTCATATATCACCATAATTTTCTCTCGTGCTTATTCCCAAACAGCCTGTAATGCTAAAGACCTCCAGTGATTCAAGCAACACCGGAGATGATCGTTGCCCAGCAAATGCAGTTAAACCCTGGATCTAGTAAATGTAATACAGCATTTAACGGAATAAATATGGATGTAATGATATAGTCTTAAGAATATATCTGTACATGTAAAGTGTGTGGATGTGGATGGCGGATGGTGTGTACACAAATGAACAGTAGAATCGAACCCACAGCCACACTCTCTGTACTTTAACTTTAGCTTTTTTCAAAGTTAAAGCTTAACCATTGGGAGACGGTGGTAATGCGTTGCATTACCCTTTTTATAGAAAAGAAAATGTTTGCTCTCTATTAAACTGTTATGATCTGTAACGTAATAGATCGCTCCACTAATAACTTATGCATATCTTTTCTCTCTGTATTCCTGTCATATTGATCCTTCTCAGATGTTCTTCTTGCTTTCTGCTACTAAACACTTACATTTTGATATCTTCCCCTTTGTTCTTGCTTTATTATCATGAAATTTTAGTGTAGCAATTTGAGACAAACACAATAAATTGGTTGAAGAACCACGTTTCAATAGAAAAAGTTTCGTCCTCAAAGAGTTAAAGTATGTTCACTTTAACTTTAACTACTTTATCGAAGGATTTTTAAACTTAAGGTGCTACTCTAGTCAGAACATATTCTACTGCTAAAAATCAGGCACAGAGCTATCACTCAGGATGAGAAATGTGGCAACATTGAGAAGCTTACCCAAGAACCGAGGACAGACAACCACCGGCGATGACCATTGCAATCGCTTTTGGTGCAAATTCCTGCGTCGAAAATTGTAATGCAAGCAGACGATAGTACAAAGTACATGGCACCTGTCCACCAAGAAAACTGGCTCCGACTACTAATAACCAATAGAGTTTATACCACGCTGCAACCATACAAAAAGCAGCTCCCGTCATGCCCATTAACGCACCGATATAGAGCGGTGGTCGATATCCGAAACGATCAATGGCTAGTGGTAAAAGCACAGACCATATAGTACCAATAAAAAGCATACAACCAATAGGTATGGTCGCTAGATGCCAATTTACGAAGCTTGTAGCTGCTAATGTTGTAGTACTGATTTGAATGAAAAATGCACCTTCACCGAGACTCCATGACCATGCTAATAAAAGGATATTTCGTAACATTTTACGAAAAAGAGGATCAGCCCATCGAGCACGTAAGCCCTTCAGAGACCAAAATGGTGCCAGTGTGGCATTTTGAAACTTCTCTATCGGTACGGTATCGATTAGTTCACCAGTTTCTGAAATAGGATTGTCTGCTACAGTTAAGTCCAATTGAGCCATGATTAAATCTATATGAATAAGATGTTATCGAAAACGGTGATTGATTCTTTCTTTGTATAGCAGAGTTGCTTGCGCTATCTGGCCGTCTCTTTCTCTTAGCAAATTTGCAGTTGTGTCAAACACGAAATTTGAATTCAATTATTGAAAAGCTTTTTCAACTTTTCAACTATTCAATTATTGAATAACTGAAGTTCAAATATTCAACTATTCATTATTCGTCTTATTAGCCAGTCCTTTCATGGGACCTACCGGCAGTGCGATGCTGATTGTGTATATGTCGTCGCATGTGCCTGCGTTGGTTCAATAGTCGAACAACTTTATGTGAATTGTGCAATAATGGAATAACTGAATATTTTTACTTCAGCTAGTCAAATAATTAAATAGTTGAACTCAAATTTCAAGTTTGACATGTATGTAGTTGGATCGATTGAAACTTGACAACAATCTCTTCTGTTCATGACTGAAATTCACAAAGATTTTCGCCTTGATAGGTCCACGAGAAGTGGAGATAGATTCATGTGATGGGAAGGAAGTTCAAGATCTTCTTGATTTTTTTACGTCCTTATTGCTTTTTTTTGTATTTTAAGCGCTAGTGAAGAGTGACAAAAGTTCACTCCTAGTGGTTTGTTTTCAGAAATGAATTCATCACCATTTCGCACCCCTTCGATTTATAAATAAATAACAGCATAGAAAAATAGATGTGAAATTAATTATCCAATCATATTCTAAGGATTCTTTGAAGAAGACTACTAGTGACAAGATCTTCGCATTAGAGGATGAGAATTAAATCAAGATTCTATAATTCGTTTTCTACGCATACGTTTTCATCGATCGAAATCTAATAGTTAGAAGGATCATATTTCGGAGAGAATAGCAGATAAAGACAGTATTCTTTACAGTTTTTCATGTTTCAGCACACTTCATTGAGGGGTGAGTTAGCAGACTTATTAGCTTTCAGCTCTCTGGATTGTTTCTCATCAAAGAAATCACTTGAGAAATCTAGATGCAAAAATCGACTTAAAAAAGAGTACTTGGCGTGGTCATCTCCATTTTCACCCATTCATACAGCATTTGATAAGTTATTTGAAAGTAAGAAAAGGCTTAAAGAGTGCGCACCCACACCCGAAATAGGTGACTCTCAATAACAAAGTGTGGGGACGCATTTGATCCAAAGTTGGTTCAATGTCGTTTTGTTCATATGGCGTCGGTCATCAACCATATTATTATAGAACTCGTCGACTCGAACACTTTTTGTAACAAAGTTTTGTCTTCAAAGTGAAACTATGAAAATATAGAAAGACACTAAATATTACCAGTTTTGCTCTACAGGTCAAAATTCTCCTTCTGCAATCTGGGACGGTCTTTATATAGAATAGAAAAACAAAATAAGTCATTTCAGCTTTCAATCTACAAGATACATATCAGTTTGTCTTCAGTGAGAATAAGAGCTCGTGAAGTTATAGTCCAAAGATAAACTCTCAAGACGAATCATCTAGTATGACTTTGGCAGTTAACTATAGTCGAACATCGCTAATATTTTGAGATGGTCAATCACTTCTCGCACCATTTTTTTATCAATACTAGTCCTTGAGATAAGCAATAAAAAAAGTCAATCCAATTCTCAACATCAATTGGAGAAGGCATAAAGAAAGTCTCGGCTGCTATCAGGTTACTAATCTTGCTCAAAAATCCGGTAATATCGCAACCAATTGTAATCAAGTACAATCTAAAGTGAGAAAAAAACAGCAGAATCGTGCTTAGCATCGAAAACTGCATCTACCTATAAAGGGTGTGCCATAATAAGTGGGAATAAATTGCTAATGATATTTTTCATACATTTTGACAATGTAGAGAGCTGAAAGTTTTATCACATATATATCTAATCAAGATCTTTTATTTCTGAAAGTTTCAGCTTCCTAGGCATAACTAATGGTGAAATATACCGTCAAGATTGAAATAGATACATTTTCGTACTCATTTTTCGCATTTTATTTTGACAGTGAAAATAATGCAAAAATCGAGTAGAAAAATTTATGTATTTCAATCTTCTCAGTATATTTCACCACTAGTTATAGCTAGACAATTGAAACTTTCAGAAACAATAGGTCTTTATTAGATATATATCTGATAAAAATTTCAGCTCTCTGCATCAACAAAATGTATGAAAAATATCATTAGCCATTTATCCAGAGTTATTATGGGATACCCTTTATATATATGTATTTCTCAACTTTATGCTCCATTTCATTTTCGTGTAAAAATTTGACTGCAGTGCCTCTCAGACACAGGTACAAAAAATGAATTTAATGAAACATTCAAACTATCCCTAGAGAAAAAGACGCATCTTAACTATTGTCAATTTCCGACATAAAATGACCGTGGACATTTTTCGAATAACTTCATAA